CTGGCTGTCCTTGTGTCCTCGGTGTCGAGGTGTCCCCAGGCTCTGGGAATGTCACTCTGGCTGTCCGTGTGTCCCCAGTGTGTCCATGTGTCCCCAGGCTCTGGGAATGTCGCTCTGGCTGTCCGTGTGTCCCCAGTGTGTCCATGTGTCCCCAGGCTCTGGGAATGTCGCTCTGGCTGTCCGTGTGTCCCCAGTGTGTCCATGTGTCCCCAGGCTCTGGGAATGTCGCTCTGGCTGTCCGTGTGTCCCCAGTGTGTCCATGTGTCCCCAGGCTCTGGGAATGTCGCTCTGGCTGTCCGTGTGTCCCGGCTGTGTCCCTGAGGTGTCCATGTGTCCCCAGACTTTGGGAATGTCGCTCTGGCTGTCCGTGTGTCCCGGCTGTCTGTGTGTCCCTGGCTGTCCGTGTGTCCCCGTGCTCGGCCGTCGGTGCGCGCTGAGCTGTGTCTGTCTGTCCGTGTCCACAGGAGGCCGTGGCCGGAGCCGCCGTGTTGGGCACCTTGGCCACCCCTGGGCTGGTGTCGCCGGCGCTGACACTGGCACAGCCGCTGGGGGCTCTGCCACAGGCTGTGATGGCAGCGCAGGCACCCGGAGTCATCACAGGTGGGTGCCTTCCTCCTCATCCTCCTCCTTGTGCTCCTCCTCATCCTTGTCGTCCCCCTCTTCCCTCTTTGTCCATGTCCTCATCCTCATCTTCCTTGTCCTCCTCCTCATCCGTGTTCTCATCCTCATCTTCCTTGTCCTCCTCCTTGTCCTCATCCTCATCTTCCTTGCCCTCCTTCTCGTCCTCATCCTCATCTTCTTTGTCCTCCTCCTCATCTGCCTCCTCCTCGTCCTCCTCATCTTCCGTGTCCTCCTCCTCATCCTCCTCTTTGTCCATGTCCTCCTCCTCATCTTCCTTGTCCTCCTCCTCATCCTCCTCTTTGTCCATGTCCTCCTCCTCATCTTCCTTGTCCTCCTCCTCATCCTCCTCTTTGTCCATGTCCTCCTCCTCATCTTCCTTGTCCTCCTCCTCATCCTCCTCTTTGTCCATGTCCTCCTCCTCATCTTCCTTGTCCTCCTCCTCATCCTCCTCTTTGTCCATGTCCTCCTCCTCATCTTCCTTGTCCTCCTCCTCATCCTCCTCTTTGTCCATGTCCTCATCCTCATCTTCCTTGTCCTCCTCCTCGTCCATGTTCTCGTCCTCATCCTCCTCGTCCTCCTCCCCGTCCTCTTCCTCATCCTCATCTTCCTTGTCCTCATCCTCATCTTCCTTGTCCTCCTCATCCATGTCCTCCTCAGCCTTGTGCTCCTCCTTGTCCTCTTCTTCATTCTCTTGCTCCTTCTCTTCCTCCTCATCCTCCTCCTTGTCCATATCCTCCTCCCCCTCCTTGTCCTCCTTTGTCCATGTCCTCCTCCTTGTCCTCTTTCTCCTCCTCATCCTCCTCCTCGTCCTCTTCTTCATTCTCTTGCTCCTTCTCTTCCTCCTCATCCTCCTTCTCATCCATGTCCTACTTCCCCTCCTTATCCTCTTCTTTGTCCTTGTCCTCCTCCTTGTCCTCATTCTCCTCCTCATCTTCCTTGTCCTCATCGTCCTCCTCATCCTTCTCCTTGTCCTCATCTTCCTTCTCCTCATACTCATCCTTGTCTTCATCTTCCTCCTCCTCGTCTTCCTCATCCTTCTCCTCCTCCTCCTCCTCCATATGCTCCTCCTCATCCTTATTTTCCTCCTTATCCTTGTCCTCATCCTCCTACCCTGCCCTGGGAATCACAGCATGGAGAGTAGGGATACCACTGGGATCACTGGTGGGATCACAGGGGTGGGAAGATGGGATCCCCCAGGGTCACAGCTGGGATCCCTCTTGGCTCACACCTCTGGGAAGCTGAGCTCACACTCCCGTGAAGCTGGGATCCCTCTGGGATCACACCAGTGGGAAGCAGCGCCCAGGTGTGACCCAAACCCCCAGGGATGACAGGACACCTCCCAGGGGTGACCCAACCCCCCCAGGG